AGCACTCGTGTAAATTGCAGTGCCTTTTTGGGGTTGTGAAAGGACAAAAGGCAGGTTTGGGGAACAGCTGGTACTTCAAGTTTTTGCCAGTAGCTCAAATATTTGAAAAATCCATCTTGTCTCTTGTAATAGCTGTGCTCTGCTGTTGTTTGGAAAGATTGCACATGCTGTTTTTCATCTTTCAAGTTTGTTACTGTACATCTGCTCTCTACAAGATTTTTCAAGAATCTGACTTGCCAAGGCAGTGTCAGACTTCTTGCAAGCAGTTTAACAGCTGCTGTCCAGGGCAAGGCAGTCTGAGTTGACCTGGAGTGGTACTTCTCTGGCTGTGGGGGAAGCATGCAAAGAAAAGCAGAAATACTTTAAGTCTTTACATAGCACACTTGCCTCTACAGCAGTGAGTACTGGGATGAATGCATTCTAATTTTAAGACAAAGGGCAAGTTGTTATGGAGTTGTTATACAAGTTTTTATGGGAGGGGGAGAGAGAAAGAAGAGAAAGGGAGGTGAGAATACTGAGGAAGCGTGCAAAATCTGAATTTTAATGGGATGATCTAAGCTAATTCAAGCTTTTGATGTCCTGTCCTTTCAGAATGTGTGTGGAAATCGAGTTGCTGATGCCTGGAGGCTTTGGAGAGCAGTGTCCATTTGTACTCCAGTGAGAGTTCAGTCCAGCCAGATGTCAAATCTGATCCATGTCCAGTGAGGCACTCATGGGTTTAGTGAGATGTTAAGCGGCATCTCACCCTCTTAGTTTTTCTTCTCTCCCCTTTTGACTCCTCTAGTTTTTCTGGTCTGCCACTAATGTGTCATACATTACCATTTCAGCCAGTTCTATATGTGCAATATAGCATCTTTCTAGAGTCTTGTGCTTGATGCAGCTGATGGTTTAAAGGCAGCTGTCAGGTGTAGGTGGCCTCACAGTGGAGATGAACCCCTTTATCCAAACTACAAGTTTTTGGTTTCATTGTGTACTTAGATGGAGTAAAATGAGTAAAAAAATTACAGACTTAGGATTGGGACCAATCTACTGCACTGACATAATTTCTGAAAATAATGATTGATTTGCATTAGATTTTTCAGTTATTTGTGGATGGAAGTTGTTCTGTTTTGGGCTGGGGTGGAGTTTTTTTTTTTCACGGTGGCTAGTAGGGAGCTGAGATTCAGATTGTGCTCAACCCACGGTTGATAAATTAGAGGTGCTATTGCTGAGCAGGGCTTACACAGAGCCACAGCCTTTTCTGTTTATTGTACTTCGATGTTGTCAAGGAGAATACTGGAGTGCTTGGGAGATTTCGGAAGAGACACAGCTGGGACAGGTGACCCAGAATGACCATGGTAGTATTCCAGACCATGTGACATCATGGTCAGTGTATAAAGTGAGGAGAAGAAGGAGGAAGAAGGGGGGATGTTTGGAGTGATGGTGCAGTACTTTGACTACCCAGGTCACCATTATGTGTGATGGGCCTCTGCTCTTCTGGAGACGTCTGAACACCTGCCTGCCTTGGGAAGCAGTGAATTAATTCCTTGGTGTGCTTTTCTTGCATGGGCAGCTTTTGCTTTCCCTATTAAACTGTATTTATCTCAATCTATGAGTTTTCTATCTTTTACTCTCTTGATTCTCTCCCTAGTCCGGCTGGTGGGAGACAGGGAGAGCAACTGTCTGGGGGGCTTGGCTCTTGGCTGGGGTTAAACCATGGCAGAAGTGAAGAGAAGTTATTAAACCTCTGTACTGCAAAATTGAATATGATTTCTAAATGCCGGTGTATTTAATATAGTGACATCACAGTGTATTTCTTGTCTAGAAAGAAACTGGGTCTGAGTGTGACTCAAAACAGGTGGAAGATGAATGTGGAAGGCAGTGGAATTGCCATTTCAAATTCTTGGTTTCTGCTCCTGGTAACACACTCCCTTCAGTCTGGTTGTGTCTTATGAGGACCCTGTAATTCAGAGACTCTTCTGTCTTGATTCCTCATCTGACTTCTTGCTACATACATTTTGAAATTAATTTAGCCTCACTTCTCATGCATTTTCTTTAAAAAGGATTAAGTTCATCTGAGTTGTGTGTGGTGAAGAAAAAGGTGGTTGTGCTTTAGTAGTAAGGACACAAGCTTTTTACTTAGTAATAGGTTAATATCTGAATAGGTCTGTAAGTGGTTAATTCAGTTAGGTAGAGGGTTTAAATTAGAATAAACTTAATGCAGTTGCAGAGTTCTTTTTTTCTTTTCCTCTGATTAGGAGTAGGTAGTGGATTGCTTAATTTCTTGCATATATTTACTCACTGGTGTTCAGTTTACTTTTTGGAATTAAACGTCAAACTGAAATGAGGTTGCTACATAATAATTTAAATCATGCATTCAAATATGTAAGTTGTTTATTTTCCCCTATCCTCAGCTGTGGTGTGTGCTTTAGCCTGCTCTTTAGAGTAATGGGATTTCTTGTGTTGGTCTGTCACTCTCCTGGTAGTTCTTGAGCACACTGGACCATTTTATCAGTAAGTGACAAGAAAACAAAAAGCTCAAGCTGCAGTTGTATGTTTTCTTCAAATTAGCTTTTACAGGCAAGAAAGAACACTGTGTGGAGAAGGGACTGAAGTAAGAGCTCCTGGTGGAAGGCATTCTGATTGTACCCAGTGTGGTAGGTGTTTCAAGGGGTAGCAGATGATGAGCTGGGCCCATAGTGCTTCCAGTGGGCTAGTGGGGGAGTTGGGTGAACTGCAAGAGCTAAGGGCAGGGGGCAGCTCTGAGAGTGCTAGACAGAAAGCCATGGGAAAACCAGCCTTGTCATATAATTAATTAAGCATTAATTTGTGCTCCTTTTAATTTATTTCTTACAAATTATGTTTATATGAAATGCATTTTCACTGTAACATTCACATTACAGTGGAAGAATTCCTCATAATTACTTCTATTTCGTAGCTCCAGTGCACTAGCCTGTTTACAGAGTGCTGGTGCTAGAAGTTGCTCTTCAGTAATAGTGAATTTGCAGTTTTGACTTACTGTTCAGAAAAGTGTCTGCAGGGATATGAAGTAGTATTTTGAAATGTATATGGTTGTAGAGGAATACAAAAACATAGAACAGAAACAGGAAAGGTTTTTTATCAAACACAGAAATTGTTCATCTGTTACCTCTGATGTGTTGTGTAAAATTTAGCAAACTCAGCTAACCTTAAATTCTGACATATTCAAATTGTCTCATATTAAGAAAGCAGTGCAATATAATTCAAGACTACTGCTTAGAAGTCATGAGCTTGTTCCTTCCTGACCTGTTATGAAATAGTCTTACAGTTAAATAGTTTCTTTTTGTTCATTAAGGCTGTTAAGCTTTTAGAAATGTTCTTGAGAATAAAATATTTTAAATTTCAGGCGGAAGTCCTTACAAAAATTACTGTGCAGCATTTGAAAGACAAAAGGATTTTTTAATTTACTAATGTGATTTTAATTAGAGAAATTGAAAGGCTACTTTAATTGCTTTAATACAGCAAAAAAAGAAATTTTCAGCTAAGTCTTTCCCAAATGACTATGTCCTTGGTAATAATGTAACTTCTTGTTCCAGAAAATTTCCATGCCACATGCTTTTAAACAGAGTATTATTCATGAGTAGTACATGGACATTGAATTGTTGCTGTTAAAAATGTAATCGAGTTGAGTATTGTGTAAGTATAGTTTTAAAGAACTGCTTTAGATGTTTTTGTTATATATTGCTTCCCTTTTAGGATAATTCTGTCTCACTTGGGCATCCTTGCTCTCAAAGCTGCTCTCTGCAGGACAGTGTTTTCTATGCCATTGTGCCCTTTTTGTGATGCTTTGAGATCTCTTTTTGTTTTCGTTTTCCCCATCTGCTGTGGTTTAGGAATGGTACTGCACAATTTACTTCTCCTCCCGAGAGAGACTTTCCAAACCCCACTGTTACTCGCTCACTCCCCTTCTCCCCCTGTTCTGCCCCCCAGCCCCGGGTGTGCACAAAAGGCAAAGATCACAGCTTGAGATTAAACAATTTACTGGAAACAGCAATGAGATAAGAAAACAAACAGTAGCAGCAACAATATTAATAAGAAAAATGTATAAAAAGAGAATTATTCACATGCAAAAATGCTCAAAAAATGCAGAGCCTGACTTGACAGAAGCCAGGTTGTTCCTGACTGTAGAGGAATGCACTGACTCTTGGAAACGGGAGAGGAATCCCTTTTCCCTGCCTCTGGCAATGATGTGAGATGGTATCAAATAACACAATGTCTTGGTCCCTCCCCTTGGTCTGGGCTGGAACCAAGACATCATCCTCATTTATTTAATTTCTACAAGAAAACCAGTTCTGACAACCTTAGTTTTCTCAGATAAATGTCTTCCTGCATCTGGCATGTTCTCAAAAGCTGTTCAGTGAATGCGGTTATCCCATTCAGAATGCCATACAGCTCCACCTGTGGAAAACCATCTTCTTCCTCATGCAGCCTAATTCTGAGAGGCACTTGCCCTTACGTGTCAGATGAATTTATCATTTTTGCTGAAAACTGTCAGAGCTGGGGTAGGTCGGTGTCTGACGTAATTGGGGGCTGTAGTGCTTGGTCGGTCTGTTGGTGGCCAGCTTGCCAAGGCAGGATGCCAGCCTGCTCCAGACAGTGACCTTTCCTGCCACTCCTGTGGGGACTGCCAGTTTTTTCTAAATGCAAATGTGCACTGAAGTCCAGTGATTCTGGAACTGCAGCACAAGTCTGTGAATACCGTAAATCTTACACCAAATCTAAGGCAGAAAGCCTACATTGCCTATATTGCCTTTACTCTCTGCTGCTCTGCAGTGTTCCTGTCATATTCTGGCAGGAGTACACAACTCCAGTGCCCCGGTAGGAATTGTACAGTATCTTACAGTGGGAAGGCTGGAGCAAGGCTTTAAAAGAAGAAAGGTGAAGTACTTTTTGGAGAAAAAAGCCTGAATGTATGCTACACTGGTTCAGAGCTCTGAATTTCATTTTTGTAAATGTCATATGTATTTGTTTGTAAATTCCAGATTGTGAGCCATGCCTTTGGTGAAAAGGAACATTGAACCACGGCATCTCTGCCGAGGAGCTCTGCCAGAGGGAATTACAAGTGAACTGGAATGTGTAACAAATAGCACCCTTGCTGCTATCATACGCCAGCTAAGCAGCTTAAGTAAGTATCTGTAACTTCCTGCAAGTATTTGATTAATGATGAAAAGCTTTGAGATGGATTGTTTTAAATAGCAAAAGTATTGTATGGGCCATTACCATTTATATATTGTAATTATATGCTATAATAATAATTGCCTTTATGCTCTTCTATATTTTGAAGTTTATTAAAAACCCAATTCTCCCCCCACCCCCAAAAACAAATCAACAAAAAACCAAACAAGCAGGAAAAAAAACTACTACCAAGAAAAGTCCCAACCAAAAGACCAGAGCATAGAAGACCAGGAATTTTTCTAAGTGAGAGAAATTAGTGCAAGAAACAAGACCAACACTTGAGTTCTACAGAATTGAGCCAGCAAACTCTTCTGCCTCTTGACATCAAATGACACATTTGACTGAAATTTTAGTTTTTTGTAGTGTGCTAGTATTTCTTAAGCCTTCTCTTTTATACATATGTGTGTTCAATTCATATGAATGAAATTAAGCACATTGAAAGGATGCCATTTGCTGAGCAGGCTACTCTTGAGGCAGGCTAACATCAGCTCTGTTCAGAGTGGCCTACACACCACACCTGTCAGGTGACACCACCACTAGCAATTCTAGAAGCGTGACTGGAGTGTTTGCAAGATGAACAATATTTTTGATGAAAGGGATAAGAGATGTTTTTCAGACAGTCTTTAACAATCAGCAGCTGTTGTTTGTGCTGATAACGCTGCTCCTAGAAAAGAAATTACTGCTTCATCAGTTGCTTCTCTTTGTAAATAGACATGGTTTTAAAACTGGGAGTCTGTATGGAGCTCAGACTGTAGGGCCCACTGGCGTTTAGTTCATGATGATAGGAAAAAGCCTTTGCTTAGGGAAAGAGGACAAGAGACACAGCATTTCCTCTTTGCAGTAGTCAGGGATTTAGGGATTTTTCTGAGCTGGAAGTCCATCTGAATCATCCTATGTAATGAGCATTTGTAAAACTATCATCTGTGGTATTGCTTAGATCTGTTGAAATAGGGATTACACCTTCTTCTTGACCAATGACCTTTGGCAGAATGTCCCACAATGGAAGTTGACCTGTTTCTTCCTTTTGACACCTTCTCATTCTGGTGTGATGAAAAATAATGAAAGGCGCTTTCATCTTGTGCATTTCCATAATAATTTGTGATTTTGTTAAGTCTTTATCCTCTTCTCCTGGTGATATCTTTCCCAGGTTGAAGTGACCTGATCTGTAAGTGATCTTTTTGAACAGAAACCATTTTGTATTTCTGATCACTGTTATTTCTGCTTTGGATATGTAAGTTAGGGTAAACAGAAGTCTGTTTTATCGTTATTGCCCTAGGAATTTGTAGAATTTTGATTGTTGCTGAGCATTGAATTATTATTTTCAAATAAGCTTGCAAGTGATCCTCTGACCTTTCTTGAACAGCAGCTTACGATTTTATGTCTAATGTTATTGAGAGTTACTTTGTGTTTGCATTGTCATTGCGTTTCATTGTTTTTTCAGACAGTTGCTTAGTAGTGCCATCCTTAAGTTTCAGAAAAGTGAGAATGGCTAATGTTCTAATACTGAAGGAGACCTCATTTTGAGTGATAAGACCTCATTTTCAATGATAGCACCTCATTTTGGTATTGTGCTATGATTGTCCAAATGAAGAAAATACACTTTTTACTTGTCTGACTTGCTAGGAATGTGTACAGCTTTCATTTATCCAGATTTGGTCTTGGGGCTAATCTATTATACAGTGTATTTAGATCCTCTTATGATTGTTGCCGAGGAACTGACTACTTATATTCATATCCAGCAGTTTTCCCTTAGCAGATTTCTAGGGTCATCTGAAGTCTTTGTAGACAGCCCCTAAAGTTCTGTTAGTGTCAAGTTAAAGATCTATGCAAATAAATGATGTGTCCTTAGTCTTAACAGATGACTACGTGGTATTTAACAAGTGAAATGTACCCCTGTTCTCATCCACAGTCTGAAATATGTCATGTTTGCAGAGGGTTTTTTCTGCAGACAGCATTTGCTTTGCCTGTCTTTTGAGCCAACTGGGAGCAAGGAAATGATCACAGAAAAATGCTGTGCTGGAGCTGAAGTAGAATGTCCTGCTGACTGCATCAGAGCTGGTTGGTGTTCCCACAGCTTGAGGCGTAGAGCAAGAATGTTCAGGTCTATCTTGCAGTCACACTGGTTTTTTAGTGTTGCACTATGAGTTCAGTGTGGATTTTAAAAACTGGCAGGTCTGTACTGTTGCATACAAACTTGGCTTGCTTCTGCCTCTGCTCTTTTTGGGAGACGTGAACAAGTTCCTATCCAAAGGGAATGTGCTTTCAGGAGAGTGTTTTCTGTATTATGTTTTCAGATTTGGGTTCATTTCCAGCCAGCTGGCTCCCAGCACAGGCAGAGTGAGCAGCATTCTGTATGACACTGTGCACTTTTATGTAAGGCAGAATCTTGTCTACGGGATTCACCTCTACTTGGGAAGAGAGAATCTTCTGGAGGGGAAGGACAGGGAGCATTTGCAGCCAGTACCTCTAAGTAGCATGGAGGAAGTGTAATCTGTGGAGATTTGGAAGACTTTTTTTTCATGCAGAGAACAATATTCACCAACTTGCCTCCTGGTATTTTCTTGGGTAGATTGGCCATTGGCTGTTTCAGTAGTTTTCGTGCAGGCCTGAGCACACTACATCCCCCTGTGTCACTTTCCTCTGTAGTACTGCTGAACCAGGCTGGGTTGGAAAGGCTGCTTTTTTGCCATTAAGTATCATGCTGGAGGTGCTGTGAGAAAGGAGATGGGAATCAAGACCTAGTCAGTAACAGCCTACCACTTTTGCATCTTTAAAAAAAGAGGAGGGGTAAAGCATGATTCTTATGTTTCTAGTTAATCCAGTTACAGTGATTCCACCCACCCATAGAATCCACTGTCTTATGTAGTTGGAGGGAAACTTAGAAGAAAAGACGGCATAATTTCTTAGATGGGTTTTTTAATTAATGTATAGGTTGGCCACATGTTGGGAAACACCTATTGTTTTTTAAATTATTGTCTTACAGTACCAAAATCAGCTCTTAAATTGAAAGACATATTTTTTCCTGCTTATTTCTGTTTTGTTAAAGATCTAATTTAAACAATGGCAACATAGAAAACACTTGAAGTATTATTTTATTTCTAAAACTTCTTGCATCATGTTACTCACAACAACATGTCCAACACTGCTTTACCATGTCACTGTTTTCACAGACAGGAGATTGACAATCTGTCTTTCACATGTTCTGGGCTAGGAAGTGTTGAAAAAAAATCAAATATTAAAAGAAGTATGCTCCCACTTTGCCTTCTGAAAGATAACTGACAAACATCCATCTCCTCGACTTCTCTAGGGGTGATGTGTTTAATTCTAGGATGTGGCAGTCCTCTCTCAGCAGGCTGATTTCAATATATTAACATAAACTACCATCTATTAAAATTGATTGAGCTCTGAATACTGGTGGCTGAAGAATGTAATAACTGCTTTATTTAGCTGAAGAATTGAAAAGCTTATTTTTTCCATAGCCTGGAATAACATCTTCATTTGAAGCAACTAAATCAAGTGGGGATTATAAGTAAATTTCAACTAGCTGCTGGGAACACTTAGAGAACACTCCTAGTGTGAAGGCAGTTCACTGGCACGGGTAGCCCAGAGGAGTTGTGGAGCGTCCATCCTTGAAAGTGTTCAAAACCCAGCTGGTCAAAGTCCTGTCTCATTGTGCTTTGAGCCTGGAATTGGAGCAGATGATTTTCAACTTCAGCTATTCTGTGGCTGTGTTTGACTTCTGTTTTGGAGGGGCAGGAGATTAGGAACAGGTAGATAGCATAGCCTTCTTATCCACCTTCCACATATATATATATTAAGCAGAGCTTGTATACATTGACATATCTTAACATTTTGGGTTAGTTATTGGCTGATCTTACATGTAGTAATGAAAACTATTACTGGTTAAGTTCTTCATTCACAGACAATCACTTTTTTCCTTGTGATTGATTCACAGTGTTTTCAGATAATGTTTTAGGCTAGTTGTTGTTCCTCACCCCTCCCAGGTAAGTGACCAAGAAAAGACCAGATTGTCCTGTTGATTTCCTCAGTGTGGCCATTTTTTTACAATGAGTTATTATCTCCAGATGTTCACAGAATGGGATCTTAACTGAAATTTTCATTGTCTTTTTACTTTTCTTTGTGAAGTATTAAGGTTGCTTATTGGAGCAACTTAAAATATCAATAATGGCTGCTTTGGAAGTCCCTGTCATTTAGGCATATTCCGTATTCTTTCAACTTAATTGGAAAGTTTTACTCCCCCCCCACCCCATCCCCTTCTATTTCTGCTCTTCAGACTCTTGATACAGGTCACAACAAGATGAGCTTAATTCAGAAGTAGTGTTTTAAAATTAGTTTTTGTTTAAAAAACATGGTTAAATGCAGGAGGCAGGACTTTTCTTTCTACAAGGATTTCTTGAGTGGGTTGGGCTGCAGAAATTGTAGAAATTGATATTTCATTTTAAATGAAATATCAGTATCTGGGTAGGAGGGACCATCAGTTCAGTGAGTGGGAGTAATGAGTTTGGGTGAAATCTGAAATTTGTAGGGAAGTTCTGGGGCAGGTGAACTATTTAAACTGGGGATCTGGAGCCACTGATCTGGAGTGGATGAGAGTTGTGGAGTGGGGCATGAAGAGAATCAAAGATGAGTGTGCCTAGTCCTGTGGGAGAACTGGGAGAGGAATGGCCAAGGACAACGATCTGTGCATCAGGGTGGGATTTGGTTTATCATGTGGCACCTTCTGTCCACTGTAGCACTTTCAGGGAAGGGCCTGAGGCTGCAAATCTGTGCTAAGCACTGGTGAGGCCACACTTTGAGTATGGTGTCCTGCAGTGTCCACTTCTGGGCCCCTCAGTTCAGGCACGACATTGAGGTGCTGGAGTGGATTCAGGGGACATCAGAGCGGGTTAAGGGTCTGGAGCACAAGTCTGAGGATCAGCTGAGGGAGCTGGGGGTGTTGTGCCTGGAGAAAAAGAGTCCTTATTGTTCTCTACAAGTGCCTGAAAGGAGGGTGTAGGCAGGTGGGGGTTGGCCTCTTTTCCCAGGTGACAAGTGACAGGATGAAAGGACAAAGTCTTAAGCTGCTTCAGGAGAAGTTTAGGTCAGATGTGAGGAAGAATTTCTTCTCAGAAAGTGTGATTAGAAATTGCAATGGGCTGCCCAGGAGATTATGGAGTCACCATCCCTTGGAGATATTTAAGGAAAGACAGGATCTTGCTCTTGGTGCCATGGTCTAGTTGATGTGGTAGTGTTTGAACATAGGTTGGACTCATTGATCTCAGAGGTCTTGTCCATCCTAATTGATTCAGTGATTTGGTGATCTGGACTGCATTGTCCACTGTCACAGTGATTGAGAACATACAGCAGGTGAAAGGGAGGCTGAAAAGGTTGTGCACCAAGTCCAGCATGGCCCTGGGTAAATGTGGTCAGTGACCTCTGACCCTCTCTCAAATGATTCCAGGGACAGCAGCGTTTGCAGTCGGCAATTGTAGAGGTAAGTGGGCTGCTGTTTTTATCTGTTTAACGCTGTTTTAATTTTGATGTTGGCCTGTGCTACTGTGGATTGCAAGATTTTAATTTCAAAATCTACTTCAGAAGCTTTTATTGACTGCAGTAACTTCAGGCCTTTTCATCACAGAGGCAGGTTTTAATGCTCAGTTGTCTGTCAGTTGGCACTAGCTCAGCTACATAAGGATTAGAATTTGTAAGTCTCCCTGTGTTTTTAAGAAGACTGCTAACCAGGATGTCCAGAAGAATAGACTTCAGCCAGAATTTATGGTATATTTTGACTTTTTTGCACACATCTTATGCCTCAAATTTTGCTGAATGACAAACTGCGCTGTTCTAATCCTACAGCTACTGTGTTTTATTATATTTCATGGTACTGAAGCCATTTGTCTTGTGTTTTGTAAGCCACTAGCAAAGGGATTTCCTTGTCTATTTCTTACACAGGCAAACATGCTGAAGACATATTTGGTGAATTGTTTAATGAGGCCAACAGCTTCTACATCAGAGCAAATTCCCTCCAAGACAGAATTGATCGCCTTGCTGTCAAAGTCACCCAGCTGGATTCAACAGTGGAAGAGGGTAGGTAATTGCATGAAAGCATTGAGCCAGAAGTGATGTTGACAAGAGCACAGTATTTAATTGCACAATAACCTCTGTCTTTTCAAAGTAATCCTGTAACGATATTTCATCCTGTTGTCTCAGTAAGGCAAGCTGGGAATAATCACTTTAGCCAAGCAAGTGAAAGTATTCTTGAGTCAAGAAGCCCTGTAGTAACAGAGCCATTAAGTTGCCTTTTTCATGAGGAAGGCTTTGAGTTTGTGAGTGTAGTAAATCATAAATGAATAAATATAGGCCTTACTGGGAGTAAGTCAGAATATTGGAAATAGTTTGGGCTGGGTGTCCCTATCAATTTCAGAGTAGAGTCATCACAAACTACATTAGTACATTAGTCTGTTCTGTGGTCATCAAAGATCGTATAATACTCTGTATCTAAACAAGGCACTGTGTTTGCATCAACTAGGTGAAATTCTTTAGGGGGTTCTATTCACTAGAAACTGGATTTCCTTTTAAAATATTTCCCACTTATGAGCTTGGTATTCACTTCATAAATACACAGTAAAAACAAAGGATTTAAGTAACATCATTATATTGTTTGAAAGCATTTATTTGGGTAGATAAAGCATTTCTCTGTCTAGCTTTAAAAGCTGTTAACGTGCATCTTGGCCTCCATGCTACATGTCTGAGCCAGCCAATGCCTGTACTTCCTGTTTAGAGGATTCTTGACATTTACTAAAATGTCAAAACTTTTTATATCAGTACAGTAGTGTAATATTGACTTAGTAGTAGTTAATACTACTTGTGATATATTCAGTAGTGATATTTATATGACATATATTTCATTGCCATTCAGATTTTTGTAGTTTATGAGTAGTTAATACTACTTGTGATATATTCAGTAGTGATATTTATATGACTTATATATTTAATTGCCATTCAGATTTTTGTAGTTTATATATTTATAGTGCCAATTATTAGTGCCAACATGAAATTTTAGTGTTGATATTTAATAGTATAATGGTGTAATATTTAGCCTTCCTTTTTTAGCTGCTTACTGTCTGGAAATTATTACATGTTGTTGTTCTAGGGTTGTGGAACATATGAACTATTAGACTATCAGAGTTGCCCAGAGAAGCTGTGGATGCCCTGTCTCCAAAGAGACCTGGTTAAGTGAAATTAGAATTAATGTTAAAGATTATCTTATTCCAATCCTCCTACCTGTCCTTGTCCATGGTAGGGGGATTGGAATGAGATAATCTTTAAGATCCCCTCCAAACCAAACCACTCTGATTTTTTGGTACAAGCACCTGCATTTTGCTGTCTTAGGAGTCAAGAACTATATGGGAACATAAACTAACCTCTTATGAGATCACTATTCAGCTTAGTTTTTGAGGCATATCATGTTGGTACTATGAGCAAACTAGATGATATATTAATATACTGTACTTTTGGAAATGGCAGTTCTCAAGGTGGTTTTGCTGGCTTTTTTTCTCCCCTCCCCTCCCCTTTTTTTTTTTTTTTTTTTTTTTAATGCCTCATTAATGTCTCATTAGTGTTATGCAGTACCACCCAGCTAGTTTTAAGAGTTTGGAAAATAATTAAAAGCAATATTATGGAAGGGGAAACTAGTGTATGGACTGAGAATTTAATCAGTGTTTATTTTAAATTGACAGCAGTTGTTACTCTTGCATTGCTAATCATGCTTCATATTAATAAGCTGTATATACAAACTGCTGTCACCTTAGTGTCAGTAGTGAGTTTTATTAGCTGTTTCACTGTAGAAGTTGAAGTCTTTATAATAATTCATTGTACTGTCAGAAATAGATTGTTTGTGGATAGCTTTGGCATTTAAGCAAAATGTCAATTGCAAGGTTGTTTTAAAAAGCCCTTCAGATTTGATTGCATCAGTGATTTCTTATATTCTTAGCTATAACTAATACAGTGTATTTTAAAATAAATGAGGTTAAGTTTTCAAAAATATAGAAATAACTAATTCCAAAAATCTCCAGCAATTTTTTTTGGTTCTTTTGAATGTCTTCCATCAAACAAGAATGAAAAAATTCAGATATGTACATCTAAAAAATCTGTTTGAAATACCTTCTACTTACAGGCAGATTTAAATAGAAAGTACTTCCAGAAATGATGTTTTGATACTTCAGATGATGTGAATGGGGAACGAGTATTAGGCATTAAATATTCTATTTTAAAATTTTTGCTGTTGTAGAAGTTACAGAAGAAACTAATTAGTTCTTGGAGTGAGAAGCAAGATCTCAGCACAGATAACAAAAATAGTTGAGCAGAGAAGTCTGAGTGGGATTTGGTGTCTTGGTGTCCACCATGACAGACAATAACAGTGTAAAATTGCATCCCTTTGGGTTTTTTTCAGGTTATCAGTATACTACATTTTTGGCCATTACTGTTCATTTACCTTGTGAAATTTCTCACAGTTTATCCTTGATACTCAATACATTGAATGAATGGGAAGAAGTATTAGATGAAATGCCAATGGGAATAAAAGGAGTCTAAGCTGGTGCATTTTGTTTGCACAAGTCCTACAGCTTACACTCTTATAAAACACTTGGATTGAATCCAGGAGTGGTCAGTGTCATTATAGGCAACCCAGTGAAGACTTCAACATCCTCTTCAACTGCAGTCTGAAACCTGTATTTCAGTGTGCTTAGGGGTGAAAGACAGTATCAAGAGTTTACTGCCACTTTTAAATTGTGATTGACCTTTAACTGGATCTTCTTTAACAATATTTGCTGCATCTCATGAAAACTTGTATTAAGAGTGAAAGAAAGCCTTGATAAAAGTGACAGGAACAATTAAAACCAACTTCAACCTTTCATGTGAAAAGAAAGAATGAAAAGCCTGGTGTCATTTTCCCCAGAGCTGTGTATGTGAAAAGATAAATTCAAAGTACTAGAGTGGAAGTATTTCTCTCTCTAGAGATTTGATCAAAACTTAAGAGCAAGGAGTGTTTAGTTGTATGGGAAGACATGGGAGTTGAAAGAGAGTGAAATAAGAGGAACTCTGTCTCTCACAGGAGGTTGCTGCAGCTGTAATTTAATGATTCTTAGAATGGGCTGGAATATGTGTATAGATGGCATGTGCAATTATAAGACACACTGTGCCAGAGGAACACCAGGCCTTGTGTTTCAGTCTTGAAGCCAGTGTAAACCAGGATAAACCTTATAAAAAGGGGAAATGGTTGGACGTCTGCATGCAACAGCATTCTTGCACCATCTTCCAAGATACAGTCAGTGGTCCCATTATTTTAAGTGAGGTTCTGGACCAAATGAGACTTAAATCTGTTTTATTATGGTAATTTTTACGTGTCTTTGCACTTAAATATCAGGATTATCCACTAAGGAAAAACCTGTCTTTGTGCTAACTTGCTGAAAATATTTCAAATAATTAGTAAAAAAAGGATTTTGTGTATCCACTTTCACTCCTTTCAGACATATGGTAAATGTATTTCTGTTTCTAATAGTATCCTTACAGGATATCAACATGAAAAAAGCATTCAAGAGCTCAACAGTTCAAGACCAGCAGGTAGTTTCAAAGAACAGCATTCCGAACCCGGTGGCTGATATTTATAATCAAAGTGACAAACCACCACCTCTGAATATTCTTTCACCTTATAGGTAAGGAAATATTGATTGTTTACCTTCTTGTACTTTACCCTTTATTTCCTAACTGTATTTGCTAATAATTATAGCAGAGGGGAAAAGCTACATGGATTATTGAGATTTGATTTTTCAAGATTGATAAAACTCAATCTGCAATAAATAATTTATTTCTGTTTTAAGAATGGTGTAGCACAACATTTTCAGTGTATTTTATTTTTAAGAATAAGAATTTTTAACTGCAAGGTAAATGTGTAGGATTTATGACCAATGGATGTGGTTTTGCTGCTGCTACAGACAGTGGTGGTATTTGTTTATGGACCTTCAGTTAGCAAGTGTTGTTGCTTGATCAGCTTGAGGCTCGGATGATCATCAAAGGTAAGTTTTCTGGATTTAAAAGATACTAGTTCATGTATTTTTAGCTTTTCTTCTGCTGCTTTTCCAGGGATGATAAGAAAGATGGATTGAAGTTCTATACTGATCCTTCCTATTTTTTTGATCTTTGGAAAGAAAAAATGTTACAAGATACTGAAGATAAGCGAAAAGAAAAGAGGAGACAAAAGGTAAAAGCAGAAACATAATAACACATTTGTACATTACAATTTTATGTGCAGTTGTCCAGGCGTAAAGGTCATACTTAGTTTGTGTGCATGGAAAGATTGTTCCTCTTGTGTGGCTGTAGTTTCAGTACATTCCATTTTTATAGCTTGTCCTGTCTATTTTAAGAAGGCAGCAAATTGAATTTTAGGAGTGCTGTGGTTATCTTCCAAGGTGCTGTTTTGACTCCTTTGCCAGTATCTGTTTATTGATACCCAGAGAAATGGCCCTGTTATGCTCCAGAAAAAGACACTGTAATGGGAGAGGAAAGGAGTTGGAATTAGAGTTTTTTCCATTCCAGTGTCCCATTTTTTCCATTCTCATTTTAAAGGAAAAAATACAGATGCCTTTATAAGATTTTAAAAAATCACTTGAGCATTTCTTTATTCCTGTAGAATGATTTCTACAAAACTACTTTATATATATAGAAGTTACTTTTAGACTTTATCTTAGGCAACTCATCCTGCTTATTTCCATCCATGGTATATTTTTTGTAGATTTTAATTGTCTTATTACAGTCTACAAATGCAAATATGCTCACTTCCAATCATGTAGTATTATAGCCATACATCACAGAAATACCCCTTAATAAATTCTAACTGAAGTACTATTTGATTTGATTAAATATATGCCAAGTCCAACTAAGAAGAAAGCAGCATAGACTTGAGTCTGCATGGATAAAGTTCACTGTGTGATGGAAAAAAATCTCAGGTTTAGCTTTCCAGAAGATGGTTTTCAAGCATTTCATGTCCTGTGTCCTTTGGAGAGCAGGATGGTTTAGGTGAGATGTGTCCCAGACACACTTTGTTCCACAGGTTGCTGAACCAAATGTCCTTTTTCTTTTATTCTTGTCCTTATGGTAGCAGTAACCAGGAGTGAATCCAGAGCATTTATTAACAATGTGATAGCTGAACTTACATTTTCAATCTATTAAATGAGAATTCTTTATTTAATTTGTGCTCTACAGAAGCACAAAACTTGATAGTTGTTGAGAAACTGTGCAGGTGAAATAAATGTCTATAGTTTAACAAAGTACAAGCTAGACATCAGCTGACCAAATACAGCTAGTTTTTAGCCTCAATTTTTGAGGTGCTTGCTGAAATCTGAGAGTAGTCCCTGCACCAGAGAATCAGTTTTCCAGTATTGTTTTGATAATTTGCCCTAAGTACTTGAGCTGTTGCAGCCAGGGCTTTATGAGCTGTTTAATTTTCTTGCCTCAAATATCATGCTTTTTGTTTCTGTATACAGTTTAATTGAAAATACCTGACAGGCATCCTCTGATTTGACTCCTTCAGGCAGTCTTTTTCTGAAGAAAAATGTAATTTTAATCCTTTAAGTTTAAAATCTAGTGTGGTCTATTTTTTTACTTTCTGTAGATCAGTGTCTGAGAGTTCAGTGTAGCTTTGACTTGGTATGTACCAGTAGTATTCCAAATTGAATGACTGTAGGTAGGGCAATTGTGATTAAACAAAGGATAAGCTGTTCTAATTCTCTCTTTATTGTGCTGGCTTTTTATCTGAGAATAACTAGCTATTCTAGCAACTAAAAATTTCTAAAATTGGAAAGCTCGTATTTCAGAAATCATTATTGCTGACTTGTGTTTTGATAGGCTTTTATAAATTTGTGGTCAGGAAAATAGTGTCATGCTTCCAGTTTTTTGAAAGTATTGCAAATACTTGCTGAAGCTGCTTTTTATTACTAGCTCTTAATTCTTTATTAAGATGCTTGAAATATTGTTTGCTAATTCTTGATGCAAATATCGAACTTACAATTAACTCCACCCTGTTTGAAGCTCTAATATGTTTTGTGTTCGCTGAAATAATTTCCTGCCAACATGAATGCCTTGTTTTCTGGCCTGATCTACAGCACCCACTTGTCTGCCACAGCTTCTATTACAGTTAGTTTAAAAAAAGTAACTTCTCTCAATATTACTTCAGTTTTCTGAGAAATATTTCCAGCTGTAATTATCTAGAAAGGCTTCAGTTCCCCTGCAACTCTGTCTCTTTGCCCTGGGTCGTAAAGCTAGAGCTGTCACCATTGTCAAGGGAATGAAACTGCTACTGAAACAACTTAAAACTACTCCTGGAGGTACATGTAGCTTTGTCAGCTGCTAGGAATAGGGCTGCCCCACTGTTTTGGAGACAATTTAATGTTTTAGAGATGTACTGATAAAATATTTAATCAAAATATTGCTACCAGTAGGGTTTAGTACTGCTTGAGTAAAAGGGATTCAAGTGCATTCATTAGCATGCTTACAGATGCTGATCTGGAACAACCTGTCCAGCTGAAATCTGATCTAATTAAAACCAGCTAAGCTTTGTGCTTATTTTTTGTTGTTTATACATCCACATGTATAAACATTTTTTAAACTTTTTAAACTTTTAAAAACTTCATAAACTTTTTTTCATAAAAAAGCTGATTTCTTTAAAACTAAGCTTCTAAATAATAAGCAGTAACTGTAAGCAGTCATGTAAGCATTCATGACTGTACAGGAATTGTATTAAAATGATTGTCTTCCCAATAGCATCATATATTGAGCAAAAGGTGAATATTTATTTTATTTAGAATCTTGCAAGAAATAGATAGTTGTGACCCCCAGATGACAAATTTTTTGTTCTGAAAGAAGACAGAATGAAGTGTTTTCAGTGAAAATGCTTACTTGAGCTTTCTTCTGAAATGAAGAAAAATGAAAAAACATGACTCAGGATAATTAAAAAATTAAAAAACACAGAATATTTGCAGCAAGTAATTGAAAAAGACAGATGAAAAGCTTTTAACAAGCATGTATTCACGCATGGCAATTAGCAAAACTCTATATATTTAAAATAAAGTGTGACTAAGTCTTGTGTCCTTTCTGCTTCAAATCCTCTGTTGGCAGAATTTGATGTGAAAAAGTGGCTGTCAGACATAAAAAGGGTGTGATTCTGAAAAGTTTGTGGAGGAAAAATATTTCTGATTAAGAACCAGGATGATCATTGTTATTAAACACAAATCAGACCAAAAAAATCTGTTTACTGTAGAAATGAGCAGGAGTTGTCAAAACATTTGGGTGTTGAACTTCAAGAAGTCGTTTCTGACATTCTAAATGTTAGGAGGGTCAGCAGGTCCCTCATGCAAATATGCATGAATGAGCAAGAGATTCAAAACAAGGACAAGGAAGCCATTTGTTAGTTTTTTGTTAGTTACGTAATGACAAACACATTATTTCAGAATTATTTACTCAGTGCTGTTAGAGTAAAAAACCTGTGTTCATCTGTGGTTAACTTTTTGTTGAGCTGGCTTTCCAACTATTAGCCCTTATTTTATGGGTCTAGGTTCCCCAGTAAAAGGCTTGCCTACCAGAATTTGACCAAGCTCTTCTCTTAATACAATTCACTGACTGCATTCTCAGGATACCAATATAATTCTTTCCTGAGAAACTATTTTTCTTAGCAGCCAAAAGCCTAACACCAACCTACTAATAGATCAAGGGTGTAGGATCCAGAGCTGATTGAAAAAACCCCTATGCTCTCATGAATACTGAGAAAAGGAGTAGCTGACCCTTCTCAGTCTGATCTGAGCAATCTTGTTCATTTTTTGTGCAGAAGCACCAGTATGAGCTTTATATTCATACTGAGTAGTCAGAAGTAGGTAAGTACAATATTTCCAAGGTGTGAAAGCATTAGGTCCCAATATTAGGAGATCTTGCTGTCAGTGAGGTAGAGATAAACAGGAATGATAAACACTGACATTGGTTGAGCCTGATGCTATATTGAAAGATAAAAGCAGCCAAGTTTGTAATGAACCTATCCAGCTGTAATATTCTGCTGGCCTGAGTATTGCTGACTCACTGCAGAGAGAATTAGTGTAATTCATTTTTATATCAATGATGAGGAGAAACTAGGAGGAATTTCAGTAGTTAATTAGATCTAAGAAGGGAGAGGAAGTTAAAACAAACAAAGATAATTTCACATAGACTATGGAATAGGAATGTGTGTCCAGTTTCTCCATACTTCACCTGGCTCTGTTGATTGTGACCATAATGAATAACCAGAATAGCCCTGAGATTATTTAACATTCTCAGAAGTTTGATTTTCAGGAGATGAAAATTACAAGTGCTTCAGGGTGGTCTAAATAAAAGACATGATGTCAAAAGAAGTTCAACTTTCTGGCTTTTGAAATTGGTCCCATTTCTGTATTAGGAAAACCAGGAGATTGGCATCACAGTAGCACATGCATCCTTACAGAACAAAGGCAAATCAAAAGTCTTGCTACTAATGAGGTTCATAGCGTAAGGACATACTCTTATTTTAGTATTTTAGTACAGAGAAATTTATGAAGACTTGGCTTCATCTGTAAATCTGGTCTTATTTTCATGCACTCTAACTGCATTTTAACCAGCTTTTTTCCTTTCCTTTTTTCTCTCTCTTTGCATGCTTTATTTCTTTTGTTTGGACATTAGGAGCAAAAGCGTATAGATGGCACCACCCGTGAGGTGAAAAAGGTTAGAAAAGCCAGGAACAGACGCCAGGAGTGGAATATGATGGCATATGACAAAGAGCTTAGACCTGACAACAGGTTGTCTCAAAGTGTGTACCATGGAGCATCTTCCGAGGGATCACTGTCCCCAGATACTAGGTCTGTTTACAGCAAAGCTGTTTGTTGTACCACAGTTGTATGTTCAGCAATACTGAGTAGAATTAGGTGTTTTTACAGGATGGGAATAGTTAGACAAAACATACAATGCATGTTTAAAACATTCTTTTCAAATTTATTTTAAAGCGTAAACGACATAACAAATTCTGTAATTTTTTTTTTCTTCCTCAGCTTCACATGAGCATTTTATCCTCTTAATATTTTGTATTGCAGAGAAAGAAGTGTTGGCTGCTTTGTGGTTCATCTTCAGTGTCTGTAGTTACAAAGCATTTGAGCCTCTACTAGATAATGTCAGTAGCTCTTCCTTAGTGTCTAGTTTGTTGTGCCCTGCTGGTAGCTTAATAAATATTTTTCTGTGATCTACTCAGTCAAGAATACTTTTGCCTGTAAGGAATACTTCAGTGGGAGAAGAGTTCAGCTTTTTGATGTTATATTAGTCTAAAAACCAAGCTACAAAACCAGATGAGATGCTACTGCTTGAAATAACAAAAATCTCTGCTTAGAGATAATGCAGCAGAATTCGTCTTCATTGACTGAGATTCCCTTTGAGCTCAGTGGGAGCTGCCTGATGTGCATTGAAGTCTTAGTTTTTGCACTAAGCTGGTCTCACCAGAGGATTTTCCACTTATTTTATTTCCTTTGTCTGTTGTGATTAGGTACTAGCAGTAAGCATAGAAATAAATAGGGTCCACTGGAAAAAGTGTTTAAATTGTTGAATGGCTAAGTTGAGGAGGCAGCTACCACTGCAAGAGTGTGGAAAGATGCCTTTAGATGCCTTAAAAGATAAAAATCTGCTCAGAACTTTGCAGTGTTGTGGTCTTTGTGAAAAGTAATGAACTTGTTATTGAAACATAGTATTTGATATTGCTATTGGTCTTTCAGTAATGTATTCAGACTCCCTCACTGTCTAAAAAGTCTTGTTTGTTTAGTTTTATTTTATAGTTTCTAATGCAAAACTTTGTCTTCTGTTAGTCTTAATGAAACGCTGCAGACTGACTAAGCTTTACATAGGTTGATCTCCAAAAGCTGTGGATTTTTTCATCAGGAGTTCTGTTTTGCACTTTTTGAGTCTTTTTTTCAGGTTTAACACTTTGCCTCCAGGATTCCTGAGTTTAAATTATCATATTGAAATGATTTGTTTTTATCTTCCAGCAACGTCAACATGTATTTGGCTGTTTGCAGATATGTGGTATTTGCAATCTGTGGGCATTTTTAAAGCAGAAATTGTAGGATGTGGCTGTGTTGGATTTTGATGTTGTTTGTGTGACAGATACCTTGTACTTATATTATGCCTTTTATGTTTTATAAATTATGGAGTATTTTACATTTCAGTGAATCAAATATCTGAGATTGAATCCTGAAATCTGTTTTACATCTATGAAGCATTAATTCTGAGAATGGTAGTGAGGTGGAGAGAGGGCTTTCTATTTTTTACCTTGGAGTAGTCTTAAGCTATATAAAATCCATACATATAAAAATATGTACAGGTTTGAGAGACATTTTCATGCTGCCAGCTATGGCGTGAGCAGTGTTCTGTAAGTCAGGTTCCAAAAAAGTGCATTTGGTTATACTGTCATTATTTTCCTACTGCTAAAGTAAAAAAAAAAAAAAATTGGTCATATATCTTCTAGTTTACTAATTGTAAGACTCAGGCATTAAATGTTGACATCCCTGTGTTTGGACTGTGGCAATTTACAATGTATTTGTTATACTTATTGTACTTTAGAGAGAGAAACACAAGCTGAATCCAAACAGAAACCAGCAAATTAATGTGAGAAAAGTAAGAACAAGAAAAGAAGAGTGGGAGAGAAGGAAAATGGGCATTGAGTTCATGAGTGACGCAAAGAAAATGGAACAGGCAGGAAGCATGAAAGAGGACAAAATGCCCAAAGGGTTTGTTATTTTGTTTTGCTCAAAGCCCTGGCTTTTTGTTGCTTACCTTGCTTCCAGTCTCACAGATAAGTGCATCAGTTCACTGTGTTCACTAAAAGCCAGGCTGCACCATTGTTCATTACTAAAACAAGTCTTCACAGTAATGGGATGAAAAGATCCTTTTGCTCCCTCTCTTGGGCTTATTTGACAGAACATCCTAGACTTTGTATCTTTATGAACTCTCTGCTCAACTAATACTTACATTTCCCAGTTTCTTTAAGCTCTTCCAACAAAATTAATTGTGCAAACAAATTAAAAAGCATTTTCTAACTTTAAAAATTGGTTTTCTCTGCATTGGTAAAATATGTTCTTCCGCATAATTGCAAGTGCTTGTAGTATTGCTTTTCTTTTTCTGCTGCCACTGTTTACTTGAGGCAGGCTGGTAAGTATTGCTATTTCAAACAATGGACTGTCAAAATCATTGACAAAAACCATAAGCTTCATTATGGCTACTAAAATTCTTGTGCTTTCTGTGGACTTAAAAGGGAGTGGTACTTGATAAATCGGGGAATCCTCTTGCAAGAAAAATAATGCTGATTGTATTCTTTTTTGCTTGTTTTGTCAGTTATTTAGGTAATACCCTGTTGCACTCACATAATCTGTTCTTCTGCATCAATTTACTTTAATTTTAGGTCCCATGCATCCGATGTTACAGATTATTCTTATCCTGCTACTCCGAATCATTCCCTCCATCAGCAGATTTCAATGCCTTCCTATGGAGCAGGAGATGGTCCACAGTACATGGCAGCGTCCCAAAGCCACGAGCATGAATACAGACCGCCCTCCACCACTGTACGACACGCCACTTTAAACAGACCTCAGCAGCCACCTCCCCCTCCACCCCAGCCTCCAGATGGCCAGCACAGCTCAGTACCTGTGGTACCAGCAGAATATGGGTAAGTCTGATTTAGTCTAGTGGATTCTTGGCAAAAGCAGAGGAATGCATGTTTTTTGTAGCCATCATAACGTGTAATGCATCAAAGAAAAAGATCCCAAATACATTAGCTACCTCCTTGGGGAGAATAGAAGAAAATGGATATAATTTCTATGTATGAACCGAATTTAAGTGAAAAAATAGTGAAAGCAGAAGGAACCAAGTTTGTATTGAATGAAGTGTGTATTGGTGAAGTCAGTATGATTGTAAAATATTAAGGGTGCCTAATACAATATCGAAGAAGAGATAATTTTCCTTTAAAGTAGAAAGTAGTTAAGGATAATATGGATAATATTTTAAACTTCAGGAAATGTGCAGAAAGAGCATTGTTGATTGTGATTAATCTGGCAGTCTTTGTTGTATCCCTGAAAGGCATTTTTAGAGAAGCATGTGACAGAATTGGAAGGGGTCTCCTCAGACACAAATTCCATACTGCCACAGGAGGAATGCTGCTCCTTAATTCAAGACAGAGATTTATCAAATGCCTGTGTAGATATTTTGCCTGAATGCATTCTGAATGAGGGCTTGCTCCAGAGTTCTGGTTCTTCTGTTGCAAGAAAACATATGTTTTCTAATAAGTCTGTGTCTTTTGTGTAAATAGCTTAAACTTTCAAGTTGTAACCCCAGGAAAGTTGTAGTCATTCTTGCCTGTGTTGTTTTTTTGCTATTCAAGCCAAGGTTTGTCATCCTTGCTTGATGCACCCTGGGATAGCCTTTGCCTGATTCATGGCTATCGTGCTGCAGATGACTCAGTTAGGAGGGTCTGCTCCAGCCTGCCCTTTCTCTGTTGTTTACAGTGTGTAAGACATCTCGGTGCTTGGTCCTCAGGTCTATGACTGTTGTCGGGGTGTTGCAGTTGTCATGCACTGGCATGTGCCACTCAATGTCATCAGCCACTTTGCTTCAGCTCCTGTCTCCTGTATCTAGTTCTTTACCTACTTCATAACTCTTATAAATTCTTTTTTTTCCTGATTAAGATTTCTTTCAATGACATTTTAACAAAGATATGAGTTCTTCCCTGTGCCTCCTATTTAAGGAATCAATCAAATGTATCAATTGAATTAAATGGTATTTAAACTCATTAAATTTGACCAAAGAAGCACATGAGATACGTTTACCTTTGGGTAAATATTTCCTTTCATACTTTCTATTGTTCTCCATGTCTGTGTCCTCTATTACCTCTTGATCTTCTATGGAATTGAAGGATGTAGTCTGCAGTTTTCTTGTTCCCTTCTTCTTCAAAGACTTTGTGCTTAACAGTCCCACAGAGTAGATGTTTAATAAGAAATGAAGCTTCATACTTAACTGGGCAGGAGAATTAAGATAAAGAAGCTCACTTTGTAGAGTGCTGAAAGGCCATTGTTTTTAACTTCAATATTTGTCTTAAATCTCAATATATCAGCAATATTTGACAATTCTTACATGTATAATCACTTGTATATTTAAGTCACCAGTTTAAATTGCTTTTGATTTTTGTTTTACCTGAGGTTGGATGAGTGCAGTTTAAGGGGCAATAATTTTGTAAGTTCTAACTTCAAATGCATTAAATGTTTTTGTTCTGTTTTATATAGGATGCTCCCAGCTCAGATGGTGGATTACTACAATCCTACAGGTCCTCCCCCTCCTCCTCCCCCTCCTATGATTCCTTCAGCACAAACTGCGTTTGTTAGTCCCCTTCAGCTTCCCGTGCCACCTTCCCATTCCGGACTGGTGACTGGCTCTACATATGCAGCTACTCATCCTCCTCCTTCTGGTGGGCTTGTTGTCACTGCTCCTCCTCCTCCTGGCCCACCTCCTCCCCCTCCAGGCCCTCCTGCTGCAGGTGCATCCCTCTCTTCCTCCCCCATGCACGCTCCTCCGGTGTCGGAGGCGAAGCAGGCACCGATGAGCGATGCACGGAGCGATCTGCTGGCTGCCATCAGGATGGGTAAGTGCACACTGAGTTTTAGGTATTCCTTTTTTACAGTGAGAGCACAGTGTTTACCACTGAAATGAGTTTATGGCTTCTTTTCCCAGCTGGGAAGATTTCATTAACCACAGGTACCACACACCTGTTCTGACATTTGTCAGCGTGAGGTTGGATCATTTTCTAGCACCTAAAGCTTCACAGCTGTGTCAAGCGTGTTCTAGTGTTTGTGTGGACATAATCTAATGAACACACTACATAATGTGTTCATTATGTAGAGTGCCAGTACATGTACATGGATTTTTGCTTCTGTTCAGAAGAACTGAATTACCCAACACCAGGCTTCAGCCCACTGATTTTTTTAACCAATGACTTCTGGCTTCCTGACCTTGCTTACAATATGGAGCTGTAGGTCTAACAGTATTTCCAAATACAGTTTTGAAAACTTTCATCTTCAGATCAAAATGACCTGTACAGTCTTGGAACATTTAGCTTCAACATTTTGTTGACAGTTTTAGAAGTCCAAAAGTATTCAGTCTCTGAGAATTATTTCCAATCTGCCTTTTTTGTCTTTCCCTCTTCCTTGCTCAAGGAGGCTCTCTTCTCTCAATGCTTGCTTTCTTTTTTCCCCTCCTTCTTCCCGAGTATTTTGTAAAGATGCAACAAACCAATAACTGTCAAATACGAAATCTCTAGCGTCTGGAAAGCTTTGTCTGAGAGTGGTTGTCTCTGCAGGAATTCAGCTGAAGAAGGTGCAGGAGCAGCGTGAGCAGGAGGCGAAGCGCGAGCCCGTTGGCAATGACGTGGCCACCATCCTGTCGAGGCGCATTGCCGTGGAGTACAGCGATTCCGACGACGACTCCGAGTTTGACGAGAACGACTGGTCAGATTGAACGTGGTCCAAGCCTGCTGGCAACTGCATTAAATACTTGGCTTCGGTGATTGCTTTGTTAGCAAGATGTAAAGCAGGACGTTGACATGTGTTAAGGCTAGTGAGGGAAGTGCTAAAATTGAATTGGTATTATTCAGAATGCTGTAGCTTAGCAACTCTGGTAATAATGATGTGATTATGCTTATGCAGATCAGAAACTTGTCTTACTTTCAGTATTTACTGCATAATACTTAAGTGCCACTAAATGTAGCAACTCTTGTGCTGCGTGCAAGATATGATGCAGTTGTTGCACTGTTACAGAACCAGCATTTTATTTTACTTTCCTGTTCTTGAAGGGATAAAATATATTTTTTTGACTTTACATCTTACTCTTTTAATTATGTAAGCAACTTAGATACTTGTGAATTGGTCTGGTTGTTAGTCTTTGAGGGCAGCTTACTGTATAGCTGAGTGAAGTGTTGAGTTTCATAAATGTGACTTCTAGCTTTTTTATTAGGTACTAATTATGCCCACCTTAGTCTATTTTTAACCACTTTTGGGCTTAAGTTTTTATGCATACAGAATTGATTTTATACTATCTTCCTTTTTATCTTAAAAATGTAGCACATGACGAAATGTATACTTTGAAGAATGACCCCAAGTGATCAAAAAAGAACATTTGGTGAGCAGACAGATATGTCTGTAATGGTACCAGCTCTAAGTTACTGGCTGCTTGTTAGGAAGAGTGTTGGGGGGGTCTCTACTGGGTAGCAGATGCATGTCTGTGTTATAAATGGAAATGAAAATACCTGTAGAGCTTTTCAGTCTTAATATAAGATCAACTGGATGCAGGATAGACCTGATGGAAACCCTGTGGCTGTTGCAGTGCAGAAATGCTACTGCTATTACTAAAGATTGGAACAGTCTGGATCTAGCAATCAGATACATTTCACAAGTATTAAACTTGGTCTTTATGCCTGTAGTTATACATGTGTGTAAATAAGTTCTGTTGTTGTTGATTTGTACATGTGTAGTTGTGTAGCACATTGACTCAGAACTCTTATTTTGAATGTATTTCTTTCCCAGTACATCCCATGGATAAAACAGGGGAAAACAGGGGCAGTTAAAGCAGTTTTGATGGCTATTGAGGTACTATGCCATATATATATATATATATATATATATATATACACAATCACTTTCTTAGTCCTTTCCCGGCTATTGAGGTACTATGCCATATATATATATATATATACAATCACTTTCTTAGTCGTTTCCTAGGCATAGTTGCTGCCATAAAGCCTGCTTTGACGGTCTCTGTTTTCCTTGTTTTCCATTTTTTTTTATCAGCCGTACGGTATTAAAATGGTTTAGTTTGTTTTGGGGTTTTTTTTTCTTTTCTGGACCAAGAGTCAGGCTGCTGCTCTGCCTAATGAGGCTTTTAAATTTTATTCATAGCAAGGAAGATTTCTTTCCTTACCAGATTACAGTTTTAATCTTTGTAACTGAAGTCTGTGTAATTCCAGGTCTAACATTTGATAAACCTCCTTTGTTCTGTGAGGCACCCCTATCTGTTCTTAAAAGAAGTATGTAAAATAAAAAGAGAAATGGAAGGTGATTATCTAACCTGTGTTTACACCATTAACAGTTTTAGTCCTGAGAATGTAACAGTCTAACACGATGTTTGCATGCAAACTGTTGGCTACTGCATTGCTGTTTAATCTGCATATGATTTTTCAATCCTTGGTGGCTGCCTTTATGGTAGAGGGATAACGTGCTGCCTCAGGGCTGGTGTTAAAATTTATCACACAAAGTATGACCAATCTCTGCATAGCGGTGAGCAACCACAGCTCTTGGTAACCAGGGGCAGCTGAAGGTACTTGCTGATCTCTGTCCCACTTAGAGCTGGTTTTGTCTTCGCCTTAAAATGCAGAGCTGAAGTGTGCTTTATTTTGTGTCCTGGAGTCTGAGGTCTGTGTGTCCACCAGGGAGGACAGAATTTAGGCCGTAGCCTGATGGTGGCTTTCAGCACCATGAGGGACATGGCTTGTCCTTGCCATCACGGTGTGCTTGCACAGTGGCCTGCAAAATGATCCTTGGGAGAGGAAGCTGAAGGTGCAACTGGGACCTCAGTGTTACATCACTGCATAGGTGGTGAGAGCACTCTCGATGTTCTTTTGATACATGCTGAAATGAAATGTTTCAGCAGAAAGTTCTTTCCAATCTACTGAAATTTGATATGAGAGAAGATATATTTTATGAGCACAGAAGATGGATGTGTCTGAAATTTTGTAATTTGTGCTTATTTTAAGTAATAAGCATTAAACAAGCAATCAGTTGTGACCAGTGAGATAGTGTAGATTTTTCAGTCATAGTAGCCAACCTGTTTTTCTGAACCTGCAATGTTGTCATTTTCCTTTTGGTATTTTATGGACGAAATGTGAATTGAATTTAGTGATGTAAACACTATTCTAGGCTGTTTTTATCAGTTTTATCATACTTCGGGTTGTGCATAAGTAACAAATATGAATAAAATCTCACTTTTGAGCCTGTGTTTCTTTCCTTAGATTAGTAAGATTTTGCTGTTAATCTTTATTTTAACTTACCAGTAACAGAAGTGAAAATGTTAGACTTCCAAATGCTATCTCTGATCCCAAGGCATGATGTTCCTGGGATGAGGGATGGAGTCTACAAAACCAGATTCCCTTGAGATACTGCTGTTGCTGCTAACATCCATACTTGGTTCTTTTGCAGACTTGATTCAGGCTCCAAGTTCCTGGCTGGTCTAAGCAGGTATGAATTTCCCTACAGGTGGCTTTAGGGATGTTTTTTTTCCAGTGAAATGTGTTAAAGGCCAGCTCTGCTTCCAGAAAGAATAAGGCAGAAAATACAAGTTAAATCAGCAAATATTCTTGCCCACTTTTTTAATGGAAGTTGTCTTTGTAGGTTAGTGACCCAGCACAATACTTTAAAATACAAACCCATGTAGGCCTACTAGAAAAATACTTTAAATTTAATCTTTTAATTGTAATCAGATTAAAGGCGGGAGAGGCTTTTCATCCTGCTGGGAAGAACTTACATAAACCAATTGTGCAATAGAGTAGGTTAATTGTAAATTAAACAGATTTGTTTATGCATCTTAGACTCGGTTGTTTCTTGGGAAAATAAATTAATCTTTATTCTGTTCAACTAAAAATCTCAGTACCTCTGGCTCTCAGTTCTTACTTCTCTCAAATTTCCCACTTTTTGATTTGAAATAATTCAAATAATTTAGACCAGAATTCTTAGACAGCAATTCTACATAGAAACTGAATATGCAAGCTTGAAATTTTTTGGTTCAAAAGTTCTCTTAGTAAAGCATTTATAAGTGCTTGTTGTAGCTTGGTTTGAGTTAGGACTGATGGTCACTCAGCATGCTGCTTCTACAGCTTTTGTGGTTGTCCTTTCAATTTTAAAGAATTTTCATGGACCTAAACTGAAATGGATTTTTGGGTATTTGAGATTTCACTTTACCAAGATGAAGGGAGAAGAAAAACACCTTATTGTAAGAGAGGATGCATGGTGTTGAGAAGAAGCTCCAAACTGAGCTTGTTTGCAGTATGCAGATGGAGTTGGGAGGAAGGGAAATGTCTCCTTGGAACATGGGTGTTTGATGTATTTTTCAGCTGTGTTCTTTCTCCTGTGCTGGGCACTGTGTTAATAATGAAGAGGTGTTCTTTTCCTCTTGGAACAACATAAGGGTACAGCAAAGATGTAATTTCTAAAAATGTTTAAAATCTCACTGTGAACTGAACTGAGTGTAAACCTTATACTAATGAAGACTTCATTAGAATCCTGTGGCTGGAAGCTGAAGTTGTACAAATTAAATTTTGAGCTGAGGTATTAGTTCCTAGCCAAGAAGTAAAATAAATATTGGAACAGCTTATCTAGAGATGATTTTTTACAGTGAATTTTCTTTAAGGTGACATTACACATATTTTCCTTCTGAAAAATCACACGGAAATTCAGCCTGCCATAGTCTGCTTTGGGAAAAAGTGCTTGCCCTGTGGGGGTGTGGATTTTTACTTCTGAGTCTGAAGCATTCCTGCTAAGAGTGAGTCCATACATGAACTCAAGTCCAAGGATTTTTAACACATTGAAGTGGATCTGCATTCAGGTGCTAAAACACTGAGGGTGATACATAGGGAATAAAAATAAATTATGATCCCTGCTAGAATCCCTCAGTCCCTGGTGTCTGCTGCTGCAGAACAGTCATGAGAGACTTGAGCTTATCACTGAACACCCTTCCCAGTTTTCTTGGACTTGAAAAGAAGTTAGGCTACTCCAGAAGGACTGTGGGTTCCCAATTGCCCATCTTTTTATCAAAAGATGAAGAGAAAGAACAAGAACCCTGAGAAAAAGAAGTCCTTTAGGTATAAAGCAGGGAGATGGGATTTCGTATCTTGCTTTCTCTACTAACAGGCAAAGAATCTCTTTTCATGTGCTGTCAAGTCTGTGTAGGTTTTTCTGCAGAAATGTGTTCTCATCTGTGGGTGACATAGATGTGCACTCCTACAAGAGGAAAGTGCTCTCAGGTTTGTGCTGGGCTGAGCTTTTCAGCTACATAAGAAGACAAGTTGCCCCTAAGGTTCTTAGCTAAATATAGTAGTCTCTTGGAGATTATTCCTACTGCTGCAGCTGAATAGAGAACTTCTTATCTGATTAGCCAGAGCAGGGTGGAGTTCTGTGCTTTTCTCTTGTCAAGGGGTTATGTGCAAAGTGATTTGGAGATTAGAGCTGAGGGCCACTGTTCTGAGCTGTCTCAGCAGCTTGTCTCAAGCTGTTGCCTTTCTGAGTCACTCGCATTTCAGTCCCTCTGTGCTCTGGCACCACGTGAAAATGCTCTGTTCAGCAGTCACTTGTTGCCAGTCAGGTGTAGGGTAGAGGAAGGAAAAGGGGCCTGGGAATCTGCCTGAGTTACCCTAATGCCAGTTCATACTGCACAGCCTGTCCTCTCTGTCTGGGGCAGCAGCTCTAAACAGAAGTCCTGCCAGCTACACTGAGCGGGGTGGCAGAACTCCTCTCTTTCCTCTCTTCCTGGAAATCAGGTGCTCTCTTGGTATCTGCCAGTGCTGATGAATGTTTTAGTCAAGTTTTCCTGAGTCATCCTGCTGTTAATGTTTGATTTCTCTAGTGAGTTTAACTTTCTAGTCCCTTTCCAGTCACCTTCTCTCCTTTCTGAATGGCCCATGCCCACTGTGGCCGGTCACCCTTCACAAACTGGATGCAGTCACCAGCCATGGTGGCAGTGCCCTTGCTCTCCTGAACTCCACAGCCCAGCACGGGCTGTCACCTGCAGCCTGTCCCTCTGCCTCCTCTTCTTGTGAGTCTCATCCTCCTGGTTTTCAGTAGATGGTTTGCACGTTACCAGCCAAGGATATTCCCCTTCCCTGTTTCAGCAGGACCTGGGGTTTGGCTGGTTGGCCATGGTGTCTTTCCCTTGGGTAGATCCTTGCTCTGTGAGTGTACTTGTACCAGTGGGTGTTAGAAAGGGTGCAGATTCAGGGCACAGGGCTTTTCCTCTCCACGGAGGAGCATGATAGTAGTAGGATTGTTTGTTATAGAGTAACACTTTATCACTAAGCTAAGCCTTTTTAAAAGTTGCTGCTTATCCCAACCATGTGAGGCCTCACCTTAGCCTCACTTGAGACACTCTTTCATGTTCGTTTGTATTTATTTTCTCTGGTCTGGTTTTGGGGTGTTTTCAGATATACCTGTGATGCCTTAGGTTTTAGCTTTTACTGCTTTAGTGTGTAGTTATGAACTTCATATTAGGGGATGGTAAACTCTCTTCACAGAGTAGGTAGACAAAACAATTTCCTTTCCTAGCTTGGGACCAAGGAAAACGAGTTCAAATCTCAGGCCCAAAAGTATAAACAATGTGGACTGAAGAAAGAAAACCAAGAAGGATGGGACTTCATAACCTAAAGCTATAATTAGACAATGTGCTAATGGACCAGAACTTACAAAAGCGAGAGATCCCATGACCGATTGTCCATTTTGTGACCATTTTGGGTTCATCCTGGGTGTAGCCCTCGCTGGGCTCTTGTACTGCCCAAGGTGTA